CAATAGAGTGAGCACATGAGATCTCAGACTCCCACCTTCCACCCCATAAAAGCAGAACCCCAAGTCCATGACAGCTAGATGTTCCTCTTTCTCTGTCTCTCTGCACCCTGCTTGACCGCTCTATGTAACCTCGGTGTGCTGTGTAATTTCCAGGTTCTGTAATAAACCCTTATGTTTTCAAAGTTTCCCAGAGGGCATCTTGCAATCATAAGACCCCAAGGGCTGATCCAACCCCAACGTTGCCTATTGATAGGCTGAAACTGGCCCAGAATGCACACACACAGACACACAGACGTGGAGCCGCATCAGAATCAATATGGACATTACAAAAGTACAAATCCTTGGGCCCTGCTCCCAGATCTAGTATATCAGAGTCTCTGGGGGTGGTGGCCCAGAAATCTATACTTTAACAAGTTCCCAACTGATGGCATACACTCAGCTAAGCCAGTACTTGGGAACTGCTGATCTGAGGGGATTTCTGGGGTCCCTCTTTCAGTCTTGCTACTCCAGTGCCAAGGGATGTGGACATAGGATGCTTAGAATCAGAACGAGGTTGAGACCAGTGACTGCTCTGTCTGAATCATGTTGGGATCTTCAGGGAACTTTCAGATGGTTCAGGAGCTTCAGCCAGCCCTTCCAGAGGGGGCAAAGCCCCTCCCAGTGAGGGGATGAGGGGTGACAGGTTCAGGGTGGAGGGAGGCCTTTACAAGTTCCGGCAGCCGCCCTGTCCCCCCGAATGTCACAACGGAACAATGACTGACCTCTCCCTCAGCGCTGAAAGTGGCAGGAGAAGCTGAGCCTTGCTCTCCGGGGAGCTCCCGGCACCGCCACACCCTCGGGCCCCAGCACCAAGCACACGCGGGGTGCGCTGCCGTGGGCTGCCCTTGGGGCCGGGCTTCTGCGGCTGTTCTGCACGAGGAGGTGCTTCTCAGAGCAGCATCAGGCCTTGGGTTCTCTGCGCAAGGGTCCTGCTGACAGGCCCTCGGCCTCGACGGGTTGTTACCGCAGCGCGTCCTCGGGCCGCATCACTGGCCTGAGCAAAGGAGCAGCTGTCAGAGGAGGGGAGACGAGCGCTGGGGGGGCCCAGTGACCCGTCCCCACACGCCCCAAAGGCCGAGCAGCAGAGTCCAGCCGGCTCTGTGGTTCCCAGCTGTCGTCCAAGCTGGAGACCTCTCGGCCGCGCCTTGGACGCAGAGCTGACACCTCTGCCGGTCGCTTGGGCTGCTCGGAGGGATCTGGGCCGCGGCACCCATTCAAGGGAACGTCCCAGTGTGGCGTCCTGGGTCATGAACGACCTGCTTGCCCGGCCCCCAGGGGTCAGCGGGACGGACCCGAGTAAACCTGCAAGCCCCAAAGGCCTTGGGCTTGGAACTAGCTGAGAAAACAGTATACTTCATAGCAAGAGCCTCAACTTGAAGACAGACTGCTCTTTACCATTTGCTCTCTTGGACAAGTCACTAAATGTCTGGGTGCATCTGTATTTTTTGTTTATAAAGTGGAAGCCATGATCCCTACCTCCTAGGGTTGAAGGCACATCAAATGAGCTAGTGAATGAATATAAAGTGTTTAGCACAGAGCTGGGCGCATAGTAAGCTTTCCAACGTTGGTAGTTATGTCCGGGGGTCTTACCTCCGCAGTGCACATGTGGAAAGTGAAGAAGAGCTATAGAGATTTATTTGGGCTATCACGGATCATTCCAGAGACACAGTGAGGTTGAGTGAAGAGCCAGGAAGCAGCGCACTTCCCTCCAGGCCCCCTGCTCGCTCCAGCCTCACAGCAGCAAGCGTGCCAACAGCTCTCTGCTCTCCTGAGCGCGCTCTGGGAACAGGCCTTCCCAAGTCAGCTTGCTCGGCTGAGGTGAGCCCGAGGGCCGCTGTGGCCCCCTGCTGGTAGCAGCAGGACGTGCTGGCGCCGGGAGCCTGTTTTCAGGGTTCCTGGCACCAGAGTGGCAGCCCCAGGACTTCCTGGCTGTCCCCAGGTGCCTGAGGGAGATCAGTGTCATACTGTGGGGGGCCGGGGGCGGGGGAGGTCGAGCACTTAAGGCACAGAGGATAAAGGCAGGTAGGGTGGTGAGGGCCTGCTTCTCGCAGCAAAACTACCAGACCCTGTGGAGGACCAAAAGGGGGTGGTTTGGGGGAGGTTTTCAGAGTTATCTTTTAAGGTGAGGCCCAGTCAGCCTGGAAGAGACTGCCCAGAGGCCCACATTCAAGAGTCACCCAGGAAGGGGTCTCTTATCTCTCTGAGAGGAGCAAAGTGGAGGCTTTTCCCTCTCGTAGGTCAGCAAGCCTGCTACATGTCCCCAAAGGTTACGGAGTCTAGATGATGCGAAAACCTTCCACTGCTTCTCACTGCACTTAAATGAAACCGCGACCTGACAGACCTGTCCTTACCCACCTCTCTACCTCGTCTTGTCCAGGCTCTCCCTTGCTGGCACTATTTCCTGTTCCTCAAACCTCAGGACACTGGCATCTGCTGTTTCCTCTGCTTGGGGTTTCTCGTCAGCCCGGTCGTCATAGCCAGTTCCATTTCCTTATGCAGGTGGTATCAGCATAAATCTTATCTCCTCAAAGCATGCCTCTTGTGACCACGCCATCTACTGCGCTACCCTCCCCCCGCTGTCCCTTTGCCTGCTTTATGGCCCATAGTCCTCTCCAGTTACCTCCCGTGTTGTTTGCTCTCTGTCTCCTTGAAGAGAGCAGGATTTTATTTTGTTCACCTGTGTAGCCCCGGGGCTTAGAACAGTAGCACATGGTAAGTTTTTTTTCCCTTTTTCAAAGGGTTTTTTTCCCCTTTTGAAAAAAATTTTAATTAAAAATGTGTTTCCTTTTTTTTATTGAGGTAACATTGGTTTACAACACTGTATATGATTCGGGGGAATAGGTTCAAGCCCTTCAGTGCATGTCAGCACACAGCACCCACCACTGAGACAGCCAGAGCCCTCCACCACTTTATCCCTCCCCCCACCTTTGTTCTCACCCCAGTAAATGTTGAATCCTGGAAAGGTGTCGAGGCAACCTAGGTGTGGAAGAGGCAGTCCTGGTTAGAAGACTTGGAGTGTTGTCATCTTGGCCCAGTTATACCAGAAAGTCACCCCGCCCAAGATGGGCCAGGACCCAGGCTGCCGTGCGCCCATCATGTATCTGCAGCCCAGTCCTAAGAGCCAAAAGACACTACCGTGGGTCTTGTCCTGGGCAATGGATCAGGGTATAAAATCTGAGACAAGGTCCTGGTGTCCCACTAGTGAGAAGCACGACAAACAGGGGTGTTGGCAGTTCACACAGACAACAGGACCCGAGCCCCTTGGGTGACACTCAGGGGCAGAGCATTGGGTGGTTCCCCTGGTCTGAAAACCCTGGGCTACTGGGCAGATTCCAAAGACAGGCAGGTGACAGGTGCCCCATGAGGGGCCAGACTGCAGGCTGGGCCGGGAGGCTTAGCCTGTGGCTAAAGGGACAGGACAGGACCAGGCAGGCTATTTGTGTGGGTGGGAAGCTCTTCTGGGTGTATCAGAAGATCAGCCTTTGCTAGAGGAAGAAGTTTACCAGAAGAAAGTGCTCAGCCTTCTCTGTCACCTTCGGTGACACCACCTTTGGTGTCAAAGAACACTTGTCCAGGACCCTCTCCCAGACGTTTCACACAAGACAGTTCCCTTAAGGAGCACCCCCAAGCAAAGAATAGACTTGGGGCTATTGTAGATAAGTCTTTAGAGCCACTTTTGTTCTTTAGCTGGACGATTGGGTTCCACGTGCATAAGAAAGACCCGCAAAACCCCTGCTGGAAAGCCTGAAAGCTCCCCTGGGCTTAAAAAGCAACCGCTGTCTTGCCTGATGGAGAGCCTCCCCAACCTCAGCTCCCCCCTAGGGCTGTTCAGCTCTCAGCTGGCCTAGCAGCTGTCCTCCCACTCAACCCCCAAGTTCATTCCTGCCTTCCTGCTGTTACCCACTCCCTCCTCTTTACCAATCCAACCCAATCGTTACACTCTAGTCAATACACAAAATAAGTCCAGTTCCCTTTTCCTGAACCATCCCTGATGTTGAGCACATGGTGTTCCCCCTTCCCATAGCACAACCCCCCACTTGGTGATATTGTCTCATTTTTTTTTTTCTTTGCAAAACATTGTTCCTGAAACTAGATCAGACCTTTGGACTTCGGAGAGGAGTCCTCCTTCTGTTGTTTCTCCCATAGCACCCTGCGAAGATCTTGGGGCATATTAGATACAGGTTAACTTTGAATCCTGTGCTCGCTGAGAAAGGGCACAGGAAAAAAAAAACACCTTTGGTGTCAAAGAGCACTTGGTGAAAAATGGGGAAGCAAGCTGGGCCTCCCTGGTGGCGCAAGGGGTTAAGTCACAGCACTATTAAGCTATTGCCAGCCACTGCAGCAGGAGTTCCATCCAGCAGACCTCTCCTGTCTCACCCACTGCTCCCCCCCAGCAGAGTATTTCAGTAGATCCGCTTGCTCTGCACCCCAGTCTGTCTCCGGTGAATCCTCTCACCTTCCCCCCCGCCACCTTACCTCTGGCCTACACCCCAGCTCTTGTATGCACAAATAAATAAAAATAAATCTTTAAAAAAAAAAAAGATGGGGAAGCAAGCTCCAGCTGCTCTGGAAGCAATCTGTACCTTTTATTTTTAGACTTTGGAAATAAGGAGAGAGCAGCCTACTCTGGATATCCAGGGAACCTAGGAAATATTTATAAGGCAACACTGCCTTTCAAGACTTTTTTATCCCCCCCCCCATAGAAGAACTGGCCTGTATCCCATCCCCTTTTGGGTGTTTCTGGCCACTCAGCACGCCAAGTGAGAGAATCAATTAGTCCTGAAGAAGTGACTCAAACGATGAGGTGGCACAGGGGGTTGGTAGGGAGTGTGCCTTGGCATGGATATGCCATTTAGCAGGGCAGGCTGCCCCCAGAAATACCTTCCTGGAGGAAAGCAAGACATGAAGGCATGTGATAACCTATACAAATTTTATTTTAATATCAATTTGTATGGAAACAAGCAGTTGTCAGCGTTACGCAGGAAAAAAAGGGAAAGAAAAAACTCCAGTGAGGACTGATCTCCTAGTTACACCATTTGGTTTCAACAAGGACAGGAAGTTTTACTGTTAGCTTCCTGTGGGAACTCCAGTTTCTGCACCTTCCCCTGTTGCCTCTCAGCATCGCGATAGAGCAGGGATTTCTGGGCCTTCAATCGGCAAGCCAGGCACATGAAAATCGACTCCACATTCTGGCTCTCTTTGGGGTCCTTGGCCGATGTCTCAAACAAGAGCATGTTGTGGGCGTCGGCAAATTTCAGGGCTAAGTTGGAGGGCACCTGGATCTGTTCCCTCAAGTCACACTTGTTGCCCACAAGCACTTTCGGGACGAGTGGGGGCACAGCGTGCCCGTTGCATTCTTGGATCCACATTTTGAGGTTGGTGAAGGATGTCATCTTGGTGACGTCATAGACGAAGACCACGGCGTGCACGTTGCGGTAATAATGCTCCACCATGCTCTTGCGGAAGCGCTCCTGACCCGCCGTGTCCCACACCTGAACCTGGAAGATACAAAGACCCATATTTGCAGTCAGAAAAGGAACCTGAGCACAGGGGAGAGAGGATGGTTCTGTGGCATTATAAAAATGAGGCCATAGGCCCCAACACAGGAAGTGGTTCTTTGAGCAGAAAGAAGGGACTTTTGAAAGTAGACAGTTTTTGTATGGGGACTATAACCCAGATGAAAATGCACACATTGTGCAAAAAATGAAAAATGATGTAAAAATATAGAACATTTAAAAAATAATAACGAAAACAATTTGTCTCAAGATAATTTAAGCTGAAAACCTTAAGTTTTTTCATTGAAAAGCAGAAATGTAAATTGGTCAGCTTTTCTGGTGGGCAATTTGGCAATGTTATCAAAAACCTTCAAAATGTTCAAAACTCAATGTTTACACTTGTCTCCCAGAAACGGCACGTGAAGCCTCTGCCTGGGAGGAAACCAGCATTGCAGCTCTCCTAACCGGCCACCTCGGGTCTCCCTTGCATGTTGTTTTCCAAGCTGCATGACCACTGTCTGTTCCGGCCAACCAGCCGTCTCGAAAAACCTTGCAAGGTGAGAGAACATGGGCAGATCCTGCACCTGCTCTTTCCAGATGTGCATACCTGAGGGACAGGTGTTTGTTAAAATGAGTCAGCTGTCAACCCAACTGCCCAGCTTCTCAGACAGTGTCCATCAATTGCCACTTCCACCTTCCAGTCGCTTTCACGTAATACGCTATTTAATATTACTTCTCTTCTTATTAGAAGGCAATAATGATAAACAGTAAAAAAAATAATAATTTACACAGATATGGGAAAAATGGGAAATTGATTCTAAAAGTGGATTTAGTAAAATGTAAAACACCTGTATCCACCATGCCTGCCCTAAAAATCCCCTGTGCTCTGCCTTTTCATTCCTTTCTTCCACCTATTCCTTGACAACTAATCTTTTGGTAGTTTTGCCCTTTTCAGAATGTCATGTGGTTGGAGCCATACAGTATGTAGCTTTTACAGTGGACTTCTTTTAGTCTGTTTTGTGCATTTAGTGTTCCTCCAGGTCTTTGCATGGCTTGACAGCTCATTTCTTTTCAGTGCTGAATAATATTCTATTGTCTGGATAGGATGTACCACGATTTATTTTTCCATTCTCCTACTGGAGGGCATTTTGGTTTCTTCCAAATCTGGGCAGTTATGAATGAAACTGCTATTTAAAAATGTTCAATATTCTGAGAGTCTATAATCCTTGTTTCAGATTCAGTACAAAAGAAATAGCAGAGATATGGTCAAAATTCTGTAAAAATACCTTAATTGCAGTGTTACTGATCCTTTTTAAAAAACAGGAACCAACCTAAATACTCCCTAGGGGAAGACTAGCTAAAGTATATGCACATATCTATGAAGCGGCTAGTATGCAGCCTTAAAAAATCATGTTTTCAAAGAATAAATGGCGGAGGAAATTCTCACAAAATACAAGTCAGTGGGGGGAAAAAAAGGAAAGAAACATTTTCATGTCATATATGGTCCCAATTTTAAGAAAACTACTAAACACAGACGCACACAGGAAAGACTGGAACTGTAGGCATCAAAAAATTAATAATTATTTATGGGCAGTGGGACAGTAGGTAACATTTAATTTCTTTTCATTTATTGTTTATTTCAAATTTTCTAGTGTAAGCATACAACCCTTTGTTGGGAGGTGGGTTGCATGACTTTGAAAAGAAAACAGGAAACTCCCTGGTGGCCTAGGGGTTAAGTATCACTGCTGTCACCACTATAGCCTGAGTTGGATCCCCAGCCAGGGAGCTGACCCACATATAGCACAGCAGACCTCTCCTATCTCACCCGCTGCTCCCCTCAGCAGCGTATTTCAGTAGATCCGCCTGTTCTGCTCCCCACCCTGTCTCTGGTGAATCTTCTCACCCCCCACACCTCTGGCCTGCACCCCAGCTCTTCTAAACAAAAAAAAAAATAAGTAAATAAATAAAAATTAAAAGGTAAATAAATAAATGAAAACAAAGTGTTAAAATCTCACCTTTACATGCAGTAGGGGAGGGAAGGCAGTGGCGTGCAGAGGGCAGGGAAGAGCACAAGGGACGGGGGGAGATGGATCACAGGTGCTGTGATGTAGGAGAGCTACAGGGACTACACCTGAGGGGAGAAATCAAATACTGTTCCAAAATGAACAAGGATGTAAGAAAATAAAAAAAAATAATTAAAAATGAAAAAATCTCACCTTTAGCTCACTTTATTTTAAGTTCACTTCTTTGTTATGTGAAAGCTAATTTAGCTCACCAGATTTTTCTTCTACATCTCAGCTTTTGGGATAAAGGCCAAATGATGAAGGGAAAGCGCTGATACCAGTAACAGGTACAAAGACACAATTCCCAGGGGATACTCTGGAGTCACCATACCTTCAGCCCAATCTATTTGCCATTACACATGCAGAGACTGGGGCACAGAACATTCATAATCAAAATGATGTTCCCCGGCCATATACAATTCTCAGTTATCAAGGCAAATTTGATTATGGCCACTAATTGACTACTATGGCTGTTAAAACAGACAATAGCCTTTATTTGGACTTTGCCGTCAATAAGTATAATCTAGTCAAGAGAATTCAATCTCTTTGCTGAGTGAAGATTTTTCAGGGTCCCAGAGTCATCATTCTGAACATCAGTGTTGATCACTCAGCCTCCCCTGCCTCTCCTCTATCAACACGGCCACCACCTTCCTTTGCCATGGCCTTCAGACCCCTTTCGCTTTGATTTTCATGTCCCTAGGCCAGCCCACCTCTCCTCACTCCTGGGGGACAGCAAAGCCTTTCAGACTCTAGATGTCTCCACTCGGTGCCTCTGTATGCTGCTTTCTTAAGTCCCTGCTTATAGCAGCAGCTCATCCTCTTTTTCAGGAAATTATAACAGTGCTGCATGTGGCATCAAATGGAAAATGTTACGTTGTGATCTGATCCACACCCCCCTCCGCTATCAACGGTACTCGGCTACACCTGGTTCAGTCTCTCCTGTACCCGGGGCTCTGTTAGTCCATCTTTCTCTACAGAATTGGGGGCCCCTCCAGTACTTTCTCTAGATTTCACCCATTCTTTAAGACTCAGCTCATGTGTTCAACTTTCTTCCCAAAACCAACTTCCACTCACTTTCCTTTCCCTATGAATATCTCCTGCACTCTGAGCCTGGACCACACCCTTTGGAACATATTTGTTCTCTAGTCGTGTCATCGGCACCTCTGGCACCTTTCCAGCAGAACTGCAAGCATCGCTCGTCATCACGGTTGTCACTGTCATCGTCATGGCATCCTCATCCCCATTATTGTCGTCATCAAAAAGCAGCATTGGCTCAAGTCCCCAAAACTTACAAGCGATCTGGCATCCTAGGGGCCTGCCAAAGTGATTTCAGAGAGAACATTCGACTCTGGTTACCCAGAAAAAAATAAAGTTAAGTCCTTGAAGACTGATTTGCTTCACCCTGCAGAATCAGAAGAGGTTTTCATTTCTTCTACCCCTCTGGTGCTCTGAGCTGGAAGCAGGGGCAAGCTGGCCAGGGAAGGAGTGGGGGGCAGTGGCAAGAGAGCAGGTATAATGCAAGAATATCATTACCACTTGGCTCCTGATCCCCACCTCCACCCCCGGTAGTCGTAACTCCTGCCTCTGAGTAAGACTGAATTCCTACCAGCCCTCAGGCATGTGGCAGATGCTTTAACACCATGAGCTCAGCACTCTAAAAATACCTGCCATTAGCAGGAACACGGGTGGGAGTGTGTGAGGTGCTTGGGGCTGACTAGGTTGGTTGTTTGGCTTTTCTTTGGCTTCCTAATTGTTGACACCACCCAGGCTGCTGGACTCAGGGAGGGCTGCGCCTCTGGAGACCTCCGTGGCCTTCGAAGCTACGCGGAGCCTTGCAGCTTTCCTGTGGAGGCCTGGAATGTAAAGGGGAGGCATGGCTCCCATTCCAGCTGTTGAGAAACCCCATCCCCAGCTCTCCACTGCCCTGTTTGTGGTGTCAGGTGAGCCGGAAGCAGGCTGCTCACAATAGAAAATCAGAAGCAGCGATGGGGTGGCCTCAGAACCATCACAGAGACACAGCACAGCAGTCGAGCTGACTGGAACACGATTGGCCTCATTTTCTGTTGCTGCGTGGCGTCCCTGTTCGGCATTCTCAAAAAACCTGGGCCCCTGCCAGACAGTAAAAGCATTTCCTTCCCCTTCTGCAGCTAGTGCCCTGCTCATTGGCTCCTCCCTTCCTGGGGCAGGGGTGACATCTGCCCTTTCACCACACACACCTTTCCCAGATCCTCTTTTCTCTCCGCGAGCCAGCGGGGCACACTGCTGTCAAACCCACTGCCGTGCAAGTCTCAGCCCAATCATGCTGTACCCATCATGTTAGGTGTCTTCAGCAAAGCGAGGGGTCCACGCAGCCTCGGTGTCCTCTGTCGACCGAGGGAAACCACAGCAATCTTGTGGAGATCAGCATTCCTTGTAAGTGCATGACACGGTGCCTAATCACACTCTCCTTTCCTTCCTGTCCCCAGTGCTTCACCATCCACTCTGGCTGGACAACTGACGGAGAAGGAGCTGCTGGAATCTCAGCAGTAGCTTTGGGCTTGGTCGTCCAGCAGAGGACCCTGCCGAGCAAAGGGCAGATGGCACAAGAAAGGGCTTTGGCAAAATATAAAGTGCTCTGCAAATATGACTTGTCCCCTGGCTTCAGAAGGCCCTGGGCTCTGTCCTGCTGGTGCTGCTCCTTTGGTCCATGGGCTCTCATCCTGGAAAGCACAGAGTGTTTGGCTTCTTGATGAGGAGAGAGAGCCAAGGCAAAGGCAGTCCAGTGGGGAGGGCAGGAAAGGAGAATGGCAGCAAGGGGCCACGGGTACGGGGCAGCACGGGGGTGGGGGGCTGGGGGCAGGCCCCAACTGAAGGGGATGCTGGAGGAGGGCCCAGCCCCTGTGCGGGGCGCAGCTAAAGATAAATCTGGCCTTTTAAGCCCCTTTCCCGAGGTTAAGGCAACGGCTGCCTGAGCAGGCTTCAGCAAGCCCCCTACTCCCTGCACGTGCTCCTGGCCAGCATGGGTTTTTCTCTTCCACAGGGAACATGAGGGGCATCTTTCTGTAGATGAGATATCAGTGTATTTTTCTTGAGGGCTGCTGAGGGAGGGCAGAAGTGGGGAAAGGGGAGACAGGTATATCTGTAACCTTTGGCACATGCCTGAGTGGATGATGGGAAAAGGTTAAAACAAACCTTTTGTTCAACTACCGAGACCATCCCTTCTGGGTCTCTCTCTCACACACACGGGGCTGACACAGAGAGTGGCGAAAGAGGACAGAGACAAAGAGAAACTCATGCACAGAGAGGTAGCAAGGGAGATGGAGAAACACACACTGATGGCTAATGAACCATTAAGCTAACTGGCAAAGATGGAAGCGCAGAGCCCGAAGGAAGGCGTGATGTCATCCTGACTGCAGGCGGCTTCCGAGGGAACACTCAGCTTTGCCTCCGTCCACTCGGTCACGTAACACCGGATGGTGTTTTCCAAGTGATGGGCAGAGGAAGAGAAATAAATGCACTGTCCTGGGTGGCACCTCACCCACGGCTGACCTGCCCTGTGCCTAGGCTGGGGGCTGGGGGAGACGGGAGGGCCCAGCCTGGGGGAGAAACCAAACCAGACAGGAGGGTGCTTCCGTGAGAATTTAGAGAATGGCTCAAGAGTGAGTTCTGAGACGTCCCTCTACCACCTCCTCTTCCCCTCCTCCCCCCACATCCTGATTTGGCACATTCCAGTACTTTGAGACTGAGAGGGGCTCAGGAAGATTTAGCTAAACCTAGAGGTGACAGCCTCATAATGTCATTAAGGGAAGTTGCACCCTTCCTTTGGGGGCTGGGGGGGGCCTCCACCCTCCCCAGGCTGGCGTCAGGAAGGACTGTGGGTTTCGCCATTTGGTATCCCTCCGTGTCTCTGTCATGATTAACCATGTGGGTCGAGGGGCCACAGGGCTAGTGCGGAGCAGCGGGCTGTGTGTTCTTCCAAGCCAGGTGGCATGATGTGTGCAAAGAGCAGCAGAAGGAATTAGGAAACCTGAATTCTAGGCCTGAGTCTATGTGATCTTGGATAAGTCACTTTCCCTCTCTGAGCCTCAGAGTTTACACGGTTTGCATAGTTTCCTCTGTGTAAAATGAGGACATTGGATTCGAGATTCTCTGAGATCCTTCCCAGCTCAGAATATTCTCTGATTCTCACACCCAATAGGAGACTGTCAAGGGGCAAAAAGTGAAGCCCAGGTCCTCAGCTCAGTGTCTGCAGTGCAGCTGAAGGAGCTCTCTGGAAGGCTCCTGGGTCCTGAATCTGGATCCCTGGGCCCCTGGACTCGAAGAGACCACTAGGCCCCTGCCCAGAACACCACCTCCCCTGGGCACGCTCCCCAGGGCTCACTGTTGCCCCTGAGAGTCGAGTGCTGTGTTGAAGAGCACAGGCCCCCAGCGTAAGTGAAATCCTGGCCCATCCAGGGAAGGCAGGACAATGAGACAGTTCTTGGGCTCAAGGATCCAAGACTGAAGTTCAGATCCATGTGCCAAGGATCCTACTTCAGATCCATGTGCCTTTGGGTAAGTTATTTCATCTCTAATCTGGGTGTCCTTACCTTTCAAAGGGAATGCTAATAACAGTACTGATTTCATAGGGCTGCTGCGCAGATGAAATGAAATAAAGCCTGTAAAGTGCCCAACCTGATTTCTTCGTCGAGTCAGTAAATTGAAGTTATCGTTGTAATGAGTATTGCCTACTCATTGGAGGTTTTTCTCCATGTTCAAGTGAACCAGGAAACACTGGACTATAAATACATGGGGAGAGACTGGGGGCACATTGATCAGGGACACCAAAGAGGCTTCCAAGCCCCGGGGATGGCCCTGGTAAATAAGAGAGTAGCCCAAAGAGCTGAATCAGTCTTGTCCCTGCCGAGGTTGTCATGAGAGCTGTCCTGGGCCAGGGAGAGGCCGAGGACAAAGCCACACCCAGCAGGCCTGAGAGCAGAGCGCTCTGAGACCTCTCCACGGAGCTCCTTCAAGGGCTGGCATTTCATAGCTTGGCCATCTTCCGTTGCTGGCTGTGGACTAAGGCTGCCTCCTCCTGTCAAACTGGACTTTTCTCTCTACCCCAAAAGGGGAGCCTTTGGCAGTCACCTCCTAGCATGGTTTTGGCACTTGTTCCCTGAGAAAATCCAAACCAGCCGGAGCGTGGGGCAAGATCTCCTGTGGGAATCATGTGTAGCTGCCCGGCTCTGCCGTCTCCCCGCAGACATGCTCGTCTGCCTGGCACGGACCCTGAGCGGCAGCCTCTGTGAGAGGCAGGGTCACCATCTCCCCACTCCCACACCCCACCAGGAATTCCTTCAGAATCTGCACTCGGAGGGCACCTCTGGGGGCAGTGTTACCAGGCTTTGCCCTCTGGAAAGTATCATCTTTCCCCAAAAGCCTGGATTAAGCACTTCTCTGCACGTGGCGCTGAGCTGCGCTCTGTGAGGAGTGAGTCACACTGTCACCGGCTCTGCCCTCTGGGAACAAGTCCGGAATCTTTGGCAGACACTGGAAAATCCAGTTTGGCTCCAAGTGCTGGGGTGTTAGAAGGGAAGGAGCCTCTAAAAATTTCCCCCAAGGCCCCTGGGTGGTGACCTCCCTTCCTTGTTTTCACTTCTCATTTCCCACTTTCTACCTTCCTCCGCCCTCGTCCTGTTCTCCCCGCGCCCCCACCTCCACCTCTAGGCTCCCAGACCCTTTTCTTTGCCCCCATCTCACGCTCAGGTGGACTTAGCTCCCCTCTCTGAAATCCAGACAACTCTTTAGCCCTGCGTGCCCTTCGGTTTTAGACAAGCGATAGCTTATAAGTTTTGGGCTTTCAAGGGTTGAAGAGCACGTCCATAAATCTCTCTCGACTTTGGATTTTAAAAAGCTGTGTTTTAGAAATTCCAGAATCTTACAGCCTGACATTTAAAAAGCCAGATGCGCCAGCAAAATTCCTAGCCCAGCAAATGTCAACATAGCAGTCCTACAGAGGGCAGAGGCTTCTGAAAGGAAAGGTAGCGGCCCCTCCCCGCAAGCCCCACCCCCCATGCAAGGGCAGAAAAAGCTCAGTTTCAGAACAGCCGCCGGCCTTGCTGCCCTCCTAGGGCCTTGTCCTGGTTTCTGAAGCCATTTGAAAATATGTTCATGTTAATAACTAAGGAGTTAGGAGTCGTGCACAGTTTGGACTTTTTCATCATTCTCACATTCTCCACCCTCCCCCCTCCTCGTTCCTCAGAAGCAGAACCTCTTAGTCATTTGGGCTGTTTGAGCAGCCAGAGGGAGGTTTACCTTCACCTGACAGGGTCTGACCAGAGCTCCAGACAAGGCCGGCCATGAGTCTATCAGATCTCCAATGCCTGTGATTTGGGGGGTGCCCTTTCTGCCCATAACCCTGCCTCCCTCTGCACCCCGTTTTGTATCGGGGTTGCTCTACAACACCTGGACCCATGAAGCTACCCTTGCCTGCCCTCCCTCCACATTGCAATATTCCTGGCCTATCAAGTTTCTATCTGTTCTGAACCAAGAGTGCTCCCACCTGGACAGAGGAGACTATCTGTATTTAACCCATTGGGTCGCCCTCAGGTAAGGTGCTCTGCATTTTTTTCACACAGGCCTGCTGAGGACAATACCAACACAGTGAGTCAAGGCAGTTCATCCATTAGGTGCCCCAGGCGAGTAAATGGCTTGAGAGGAACAGCTCCAGAAGAACAAGTTTTGTCTGCTAGGGCAGGCTAGAGGGCGACCCTGTCTCCATAGCTTTAAAAGAGCGGATGGGTTTGTGCCAGAATCACCCACTTCACCCCTATTCCAACTCAGCCCCAATTTTAACTATAAACTGTAATTTAAAATAAAGCGCCTTTCATCTTCTGTGGATGTCCATCCCCCACCCCCACCCCACCCCCATGCCTCCGGGCTTCAAGTGGCTTTCTGCAGGTTATTGGCACCCACGAAGCTGAAGGGACCTCAAGATGTGTGAAGTGCTTTGGGATCCACCCCGCAGACCAGGTCCAAGCGCTGCCTCATGCCTCCCGCCGCCCACAGGTGCCGCTGCTGTGGCTCAGGGTCAAGGATGGGCTCAAACGTGTTTTTCCCAGCTGAAGCTGTCAGGCAAGGGCAAAGGGCAAGAGTCCAACCACTCCCGCCGGCCTTTAGGAAAAACAACACAAACGGGTGAGGTGGGAACCGATACAGCGAAAGGGGAAAGGGAATGAGGGGGTGCCGGGGGCGTGGGGCTCAGCGAGCGGGGACACAGCTACTCACGCTGGACGTTTACAACCCTAGAGCGAGGCCCTCTCCCGGTCCCTCCCTACCCGAGCCTGACCATCTGGATCACCTTGATCTTCTCGCCCTCGATTTCCACCGTCTTCTCCCTGAAGTCCACGCCTATGGTGGCTTCAGTCTTGTCCGGGAAGGTCCCTCCGCAGAAACGGAAGGTCAGGCAGGTCTTGCCCACGTTGGAATCCCCAATCACGATGATCTTGAAGATGCGAATCTGCACGTACTGGTCCAGCGACGAGTCGAGCTCCAGGGACGCCAGGCCAGCGGCCGAGGCGGGCTGCAGGCTCCCATGGCCCAGGATGGGCTGTGCCATCTCCCCGGGACCGGACCGGGGCCCCAACCCCCCTCGAGGGCTCCACACAAAGAAAACGGCCACGTTAGTGCGCTCGAGGCGAGCGAGCTTTGTGCGTGTGTGTGCGCGTGTGTGTGCGTGTCTGTGAGTCTGTGTCCGCCCGCGTGTGCGTGCGCCGGCAGCGTGTGCGCGCGCGCGTGAAGGGGGTGCCTCTCACCCCAGGCCCCCCTCCTCTTTCTCCAGCGCACCCTCCTTGCAGCGCCCAGGCACCGACACAAAAGCCAGGGAGGGGAGGAGAAAAGGGGAGGCGGAGGAGAGGGGGTACGCCGCGAGCCTTCCCCTGCGGCCCGCGCCCTCCGGCCGCACGCGCGGGTGCGCGATCCTGCCGCGTCCCTGGAGCCGCCGCCGCCCTTCCCCGGCCCGGGCCCCTGGGACCCCTAGGGAGAAAAAAGATTGGGAAGGGAGAGCGGCACGCATCGCCCGCGGACTGTCTTTCTTTCTCCCTGCCCCCATTTATGTTGTAGGGTTCAGGCTTCCCACCCCCTGTTTCTCGGAGCGCCCCGGGTCTGCGCCCCGGGAGCACAGCTGGGGAGGACAAAGAGAGCTGCACCCGAAGGCATGTCTGGAACACTTCAGCCTCCGAGCTACAGAAGTCGGCGGGGGTGGGGTGGAAGGGGAAGATCCCTCTTTCACCTTCCCAGCGCCGGCAGCTGAGCTGCGCCCGGGCGGCCTTCTCCAGAGCCGTGGGGTGAAGGGATGCTCTATTTTATTGAGTAAGCAGGTGCACTCGCGCGCCCCAAGCAAGCCGGGAGGGTGCTGCCAAGACACGCCCTGGTTTGTGGGGGCCCGCGCAGCTGAGGGGAGGCAGCCGGGGGGCACCGGTGTGCGTGTGTACGGGGAGTTACTGTTTCTGTCACAGACTTGCCAGATGTAGGGGGGCGCGTGCCAGGCGCCAACCTCCCCTCATCACACCATGAGCACCCATCCCCTGAATGTTCAGGAGAGCAGCTCCCATTGGCTGCCGCAGTCGGTTGTGTATGGCTGGCCAATGGGGAAGGCCCGCTGCAAGAGAGGGCCATACCGGGGACTCAGAAGGGGGGACTCTAGTGGAGGCAGCTCCAGCGAAAGGGGACTTTGTTTCCAGGGCTAACCATTATAGGCCCAGGTGGTGCGCTCTTGGGAGAAGGCATAAACCTCACAGTGCCTTGTATTTCCCAGCCCGCCATATACAGTAAGTCCTTCCAGAAATGGTGGGATTTCAAAGGGAACTGGAAACCCCTAGGAGGGTTCACCCCTCTATATGTGAATGTAGAACAAAGTGGTTGGGTCTAATTTACCAGGAGCCCAGATTATGCTTGGAAAATGATAAATGAACAGAACTTTCTTAAGGCATTAGGGGCAGCTTCCCAAAGCTTACTGAGCACAGGGTATCTTGGCAAGGCCTGTACTCCCTCCATCGAAAGTGGTCTACTGGTTCAGAATCTATTTCAAATCAACTTTACTCAGGTACAATTGACAAGTAATAAAATAAAGTCATTTTATGTGTTTTTAAGATTTTATCCTTCCACTCACATATTTAATAAGCTAAGGTAATATTGACATATACTAATAGTAACATCAGAGGAATTATTTGCTAATGCCACCAAGGTCAGGGATGCCAGCAACACACATGATCTGCCATCTTATTTGTGTGTGAGGCCAAGCTGAGGAAGAGATTACCACAACTAAATCCATTCCCATTATGAGAAAAACTATTCAGTGCATAAATGATAAATCTGAAAGCAAGTTGGGACGGCTCAGCCAAATCCAAGTAACTAAAAATGCCTGGAAAAATATTTGATAATCTTTTTAGCTTGAGTTACCAGATATATTTATAGCTAACTCTTTTAGCAGCTATGTAGGTCACCTATTTCTAAAACTCTATATTATACCATTCAATATTAAAACCACCTCTAGAAGGATTTAATCTTAGCTGACTAATCCAAGATCATCATTATGATCATACAGTGTGAATAGCAATCATTGTTGTACAGCAGTTTGGATTGGTTGATGTTGAGATGACAGTTTGCTGCATGATTGTCCTCTGTATTTTCAAATGTAGATCTCCGGGTGATTACTATCTGCAGAAGAGTAGTTAGAAAAAGGTAGGAGTGGGGAGGCAACTATTACGTAGATATATCCAGTAGAGAGGAAAGCTTTGCAAACTCCTAGCCAGAATTAATACTAACTTCCCAAGAGATACAACACACATTATGTCCACATAAGATTATTTAGATGTATGCTTCTGGCAAAAACTTGTCACTTAGTCTGAGAGTTCACCTTCTATTTGTAAGGTAGAGACATTGATTTCTGGAAATGTGATATCTCAAAATGGGCTCCTATAATTCCTTAATAAAAATTGATACCCCTGAGGGGCAAGATTTGTGAGAACTTCCACTTACGTTTTTGGAGTTAGTTCAATGTGTGAATATTGCTCTTGCAAAAAGAGAGAGATAAAATAGAATTTTTAATTAAAAGGACAAGAAAACCACCTCATTGCACTTATTAAAAATTGGGGTATACAGTGTCTTTTCTTTGTTTCTTGTGCACCATTACATGCTTTTATTCAAATGTACACACAGGTACCTGACCATCACAATTTGGACAGTGTTTTCCAAAGCCTCTTTCACCAACTGATATGATTACCTTGTAGTTAATCAATCCATGTTTATTACTGGCTTTTAGAAATGGCAAAAAAAAAAAAAATCAGTGTCTGTGAGGCCTTTAAAATATTAAATATATATTTTTATTTTATGATATTGCACAATCAATATTTGCAACATTTACCCCTCAAGATAGCACTAGGTAAGAAGTCACTCATTGCATGCAAGTCTGATCATTCATCTATTCTTAATGAGTAATGGAACCACGGACTTTCACCCAATAAAAAGGAGGGCTTCCTGGGTTAAACTTCCTAAACGGGTGCATTTGTCCTTTCACTCCCTAGCTCTATTCAACTTTAAAAACAAAACAAAACAAAACAAAACACTTCATCACCTATAAGGTCAGGCTCAAACTCTTGTCAGTTCAAATCTGCTTATCATATTACTTAGTATATACTCTGCCATTGTCCCCTGAAAATGTGCTGGGTTTTGTTTTGTACCTCTAAGACTTTACTTTCAAGCAGCATGGTGCTTCCTCTAACTTTACAAATATTAGCCCATTTTATTTCATAACAACTCTGTGAGACTGGTAGACGAACAAAGTGAGGCACAGGCACAGTTGAGTCGCCTAAGTGGCAGAGCCAGTATTCAAACCAGGGCAGATTGGAACCAAAGTCAATTGTGCTTAATCACGGAAAATATTGCCTTTGGTTCGCATGTACTCACCATATAATGCCATTCCTCCACCACGGTCTTTCTGAATTTTACTATTGGTCCTTCAAGACACAGCTGAAAAAACACTTGTTGCTTCAAGCCCTTTCTTAGCTATTCCATTGCATACTCTTTTCTCTTGCTCTGGCACTGCATCAGATATTACCTATTAGTTAAAGACCAGTGTATATCATCTCTCCACCTAGACAGATACCACTTCCTATACTTTTCATATCTCCCAGAGCCCCCTTCATAGCGGAACCTAAGTGGGAGGCTCTCCATAAATACTTGTTAAATGAACATGTAACCCCAAATCTTTAGAAAAGGCATATGGTATGTTTTGCCATAATTTATTTCCAATTTAGCTTACACTTGTCAAAATCAAAACACCTATTTACAAGTAACTCCTCATCCTTACTGCTGCCACATCTCTCCAAATCCTGCTTAGGATTTCTCTCACAGAAAGTCTGTGAAGCACGAACTCTTTTTCCCAGGATCAGGTCCTCAAGCACAGAAGTCATAATAACAGGAGACCTTCTACAGCACCTAAGATACAGAATCTAAGATACAGAATCTCGAAATATAAAAGTGATATAGGGAGAGTGTGAAATGATCACTTGTTCTGGAAACCGTGGTTGGGTGGGAACGTGCCAGCGATCTGTAAAAGACGGAAGTCCATTCCGAATCTGGGAAGCCAGGGGCCTCATCTGAGACCTGTGGAAAGAGTGGAAGTGGACCACAGCTAGGGAATCCGGAAGGCTTAGTTCAGTACTGAGTGGCCTAAAAGAGAACAAAGTGCGGTGCCAGGGCACGCTCTGTGAGGTGCTGTTGCCAGTTGCCACCAGCGACGCAGCGGGAGCACCGGCCACAACAGCCAGGCAAAACGGCCGCATGGGTCGCTCCTAGACAGTTTTCCGCACCCGCTGAGCTCAAAGCGTTGCCGGTAACCCGCGAAAACTTGCAAGCAACTCCCGCGGGGTCTGTGCGAGCGTGCGGACAGTCAGGCGCATGCGCAATGCTCTCCCCGTGCGAGCCAATAGCGAAGCGGCGCTAAATGCCACGCCTGCGTAGTAGGCCTCCGCTCACGCTTCCCCTTCCCCTGCTCCAGCAGGCCGGCTCCACTGTCCAATGCCCACCCGGGGCTGGAAGGAGGAGCCTGCGTAGGGTGCGTGTAAAGGGAGCAGGGGAGCTGGCCGGGTCCCACGCTGTTTGACCCGTTGGTGGGTGCGTGAGAAGAAAGGAAAGGAGGAGGTGCGGAGTAGCGGTTGCCGAAATGTTCCGGTGTGGAGGCCTGGCAGCGGGTGCTTTGAAGCAGAAGCTGGCGCCCTTGGTGCGGACAGTGTGTGTCCGAGGCCCGAGGCAGAGGAACCGGCTCCCAGGTGACTGACCCATTCCGTGCAACCCCCACCAAGGGCCTGGGCGCCATAGGTTGCCTAAGCCTCTATGCCCTCGCCTCCCCTCCCCCTCCCCGCCCCCAGAGAAACTTCCACTCATAGTTGCATGAATTCTGAATTGGTGGAATCCACGCTGTGAGTTTCGCAAGCCGTGCCGACCTGACCTTCAAGGGAATTGAAACCCCGTAGTCGGCGTGAGGCCTTTTCCCGGGAGGGTTTGCTCTTCAGGGATAACAGAACAGCTAGCCATCTCCTAGTGTGCCATGCCGCCGCTCCACCACCCCCAGGCCGCTTCTTTGCAGCAATGAGGTCACATCGACTTGGTCTTTTTGGACTGTGAGACTTTAAACAGGACATTTAAGCCCTGCCGCCTTACACCCTTCTGTAAATGAGCATATTACCTGCTCTACCTTCCAAACCCCAGAAGACATCCCTAGCTTTGAGTACCATGTGTAACAGACTGTGTGCAGTGCCAGTAAGGAGTCAGTTGGTTGTTTGCCAGACCCCAGAAGAGCTGGCCCAGAATTAGTTTGAGATGATTG